CGAAGCCCGCAATAGGGCGTACCCATTTTGGGTGCCCATTTAATATTCTATCTAGGGTATAAAAGGGGTACCCTATTTCGGGAAATACCCATATGGTCCTTCTTGAACCCTTATCGAAGCCAAAAGGGTTCTTCGCAACCCTCCTAGAAAAACCCAACTCAAGGTACCGCCGGGGAGCTACGCGTTGGGCTCAGGGTGTGGGGGTTCATGGGTTTGGGGCTTAGAGCGTAGGTTTTGGGTTTGGGGTTTAGAGCTTAGACAGTCCTTTTGGGCAGGGTGTAGCAAGGTGGGAGCGGGGTACAGGATCCCACACCTCGTCCCAACGATTCCCACGCCCTCAGCCCTAAACCCGAAACCCCAAACCCCAGCATCCCAAACCCTAAATCCCAAACCCTAAAACCTAAACCCTAAACCCTGGCACCTTGCAGCTCATCATGGAGAAGACTTGTCAGAGAACTTGGGCTGTAGCTGCAGAATGGTGGTGCCGGTGTGTCAAGGCGAGGCTTGCTTTGAGCTGCAGGGTTTAGGCTTTAAGCTCTGGGTTTAGGGTTTAGGGTTTAGGGTTTAGGGTTTAGGGTTTAGGGTTTAGGGTTTAGGGTTTAGGGTTTAGGGTTTAGGGTTTAGGGTTTAGGGTTTAGGGTTAAGGGTTTAGGCCATTCAGCATGCGGCCTTGTCAGTTGTGGACTTACGGTTTCAGATCACCTTCCGCATCTAGACCGAAGATCTTTCAAAACAGGTCGGCACGCATCGTCCGGTTGCACCCTGGTCCCGCCTACGAGCCGACCCCCAACATTGGTTTAGGGTTTAGGGTTTTCAAGGTTTTGAGGGTTTAAGATTTAGTCTGCTAGGGTCTCACGGTTCTTAGGCCAAAATGCAGCTGAACCGTCCTCCTTCCCTGAGACAAACTGCTAAATCTTGAGGAACACAATTTGGGATGTTCCCCCTTGTACTAACAGTCCTTCGTAGGGATTATAATAAGGGCCACTGACATTTAAGGACTGTTAGAATAAGGGGGAACGTCCCAACACACAACTGTCCAACGTGAAGTTGACACCGATTGCACGCTTTTCCTTGCGGCGCGGGCTGCCTCTCCGACCTGTATCCGAACTGTCTACTCAGATGATAAGGGGGCCCAAAATGTAGACCCCAGGCCCCCTAGAAGGGTACCCCTACCCCGAATATCGTAAGCCCCATCTGAGCTGGTGTCGCGATGGGGCGAGCCCGGTCGGAGTCGAAGAGGAAGTCGGAGCTGGTCGGAGCGGGAGGCGGCACTGCTGGCACGGCTTAGGTTTTAGGGTTTAGGGTTTAGGGTTTAGGGTTTAGGGTTTAAGGTTTAGGGCTTAGGGCTTAGGGTTTAGGGTTTAGGGTTTAGGGTTTAGGGTTTAGGGTTTAGTTTTTAGGGTTTCGGGTTTAGGGCCTAGGGTTTAGGGCTCGAAGTTGGTCGCTGCAAGGCCCCACTGCCTCGACCTTCACTCTGTAAAGCAAAAGCCAAGAAAGCCAAGGAGGGGGATACAGGAAACTCGACTGGCAGCGACTCTGAAAACAGGAGCTCGCGACCCGTCAAGGCACAGGCACAGGACACCCAGGTATGTACATGGAACCATTTGGCCTCAGATCACCCGCCATCGAAGCACAAATTGCTTTCAACAAGCTGATCCACGAAAGGCCCTCTTGGATCGGCTAGCCATCGCAAATCATGTGAGCTGTTGAGCACCAGAAAAAGGCTCATTCTGTCACAAACCCGTTTTCCACTGCGAAGGGCGAACCTGTCACAAACCCATGAAAAGCTAAAACTGAGCACGGAGCCACAGGACGGCAAGTAGCTCGACACAGCTCATGAGCTGATCCCTGATACAGTCTGCGACATGCTTGTTTGTTAAAACGAATGCAATGGGCTGGGAATCACATGAGAGCTCGGAATTCACAGAAACAACAGACGGAACTGGCGATCGCCCGACTTCCCGAGCGCACAAGTGAGGTGGGCGGCGGCCATCCCAATGCAGCTACGCAGGATATGGGGCTGGGATTCCAGCCGTTCCTGCTCCTACTTCTGAGGGCGGAACCAAAAGACCAAACAGGATCACTGGTGCTTGAGGAAACGGTGAAGGAAAGGAATGCGGAACTTCCCAAGTACCGCTTGTGGGTTCAGGGTACGTTCACCACAGAGGAGGGCCGCGCAGGAGCAAGGCGGCAAGGACACTGGGAGGCGACGATAATGGCCGGAAGCTGCAAGGAGTTGTACAAGCATGTCCAAGCTGTTGCAAGTCGTACAAAACTTTGCGGGCGCGCTGCGGGTTGCGATATGTTGTGATGCCAGCTGAGAAGCAGAGCCATGTGATCAGCACACAAGTAGGGAGGCACAGAGATGCTGAGGCACTGTGCCAGATCATGCTTTCTGGGAAGCTGCTTTCCTACTATCCTGTACCTGACAATGCGAGGGTCAAGGCTCCCCTCTCACAGCCCCCAAACCTTGCAAGCCGCCGTCGGAACAGCAGCGTGCAAATGGTGCAAAGGGGCAAGGCACGTAAGGCCCATTGGAGGTTCTGAGCATCGAAAAACGAGCTCCCCAGGGTCTTGAGTGAGCCGATGCGACGTGCCAGATCAAAGAACGAAGCACATGCGGCGATGACATTCTGACCATATTGCACCTGGGGAGAGCCGCCCAAACGTCTACCAAGCCTGGGAGGCGTCTTATGGCACGACATGTGTGAAAAGGCACAACACCGCCTTGGCACGCCAGGCATGATGAAGGGGCACCCCATGTGACAAAGGGCACAACACTGAAGGTCAAACCCCAACCGCACGCAGGTTCGAGGCAAGTAGTCAGGAATGTGAAGTTTTGCATGTGCCTGCATGTGCTTGTGAGCCCTCTTCAATGACTTTAATGACTGTGAAGCAGCAACCTGCACCCTCCAGCAGCCATCCGCCGACAACGCAAGCCATCCTTCACATCTGGCCGCCGCGTATCCAAGACCCCCTCAACACGGCCTCCTAGGGCCCCAACTTTTCGGCAGCACAAGGACACACATGGCCTTCATTCGTCCTTCCGTGCATTCAACCTTCTGCGAAACTAGCGACTCAATCAGAAGCAAGGGGCACGCGCTTTGGGCGCGGAACTCTGCAAGCCCAGCTTTCAGCAACCCTTAAGGGCACGCAGGCTTTACAACGGTTTCTGTCGGGCGGCACGACTTGGCACAGCACGTGGCCCCAGCACCGGTCTATTTATGTGTGCCCATGCATGGCCACACCGCCTCTGCCTTCACTGATGATCAAGTAAGCCAAGAAAAAAGCCAAGAAAGCGGACCCTATTGAGGGCGGTGTGCAGGAAACTCAACTGGCAGCGACTCTGAACAGGAGCTCGCGACAAGTTAAGGCACAGGGGTATCTAGACGGAACGTTGAGTTCAAGCCACCCTCTCAGGGCAGCTATCCTTGCAAGTCGCCTTCGGCAGCGCCGCTTCCTGACACGGGCTGACACGGCCAGCAGAAGGACAGCCTCTGCAGTTCCAGCATGTTGCAAAGGCTGCAAAGGGGTCCGGCCCTTTAACGGCCTAACGCCCATGGGCAGGCGGTGACATGAGAGCAAGCATGCGGGCGTGGCAACGAGCTTCTCACGGTATCTCACAGTCCTGAGTGAGTAGCCGAGTAGCCCAAGACGTTCTTCTAACCTACTGAGCCGAGCGACTGATCCGACTCTTCGACGTGCCAACCTCAGACCATCCAACTTCGTCCGGCTGCGACTGGCAGCCACACCAAGGCTAGAAGCGCTTCGATTGTTCGGGAAAAGAGGCTACGTGGGGTCAGCGGCAATGACTCATGCAGCCTGCGCAAGATCAAAGAACGAAGCACGTGCGGCGATGACCTTCTGACCATATTGCACCTGGGGAGAGCCGCCCAAACGTCTAAAACTTAAAGCTTGGGAGGCGTCTTATGGCACGACAGGTGTGAAAAGGCACAACACCGCCTTGGCACTTGGCACGCCAGGCATGATGAAGGGGCACCCCATGTGACAAAGGGCACGACACTGAAGGTCAAACCCCAAGCGCACGCAGGTTCGAGGCAAGTAGTCAGGAATGCGAAGTTTTGCATGTGCCCGCATGTGCCTGTGGGCTGGGCAACAGACTTCTCTCCAAAGCAGGATGGTGGGGACTGTTTACTAAGTGTCAGGCATGTTGCGGAAGAAAATGGACTTGATTCGCCGCGATCGGTGCGACCGAGACCCTCTTCCATGCATATGTTTCAGCAACCTCAACCCCCGAATCTGCCCTACTCAACCTGCACCTCTCAACTCCAGGCCCCAACTCGTGCGCGACAGCGCAAGCACACATGACCCTCCGCTCAGCCTTCTGCGCACCCAACCTGCTGCAACACAAACTCGCGAATGAGTCAGACAGGAAGGGCACGTGCTTTCGGCGCACCGCTACAAGCACTTCTAAGCTGAGCTTCCCCGAAGCTTTAAAGGCATTCCCCAAAGGGCACGAGGGGCTTGTGACTCTTGTTGGGCGGCAGGCCTTCGCTTGAGCAGGCACCCAAAACTTTAGGGGGTATGGGTGGCTCGATTTCGGGTGGCAGGGGCTCGGAGTCGACCCCCAAGGCGGCTGGGGCGCCAAGGCTACCATCGTCGGATAGACAGAGGTTGCATCGGTTTAGCGCGGGGAGCCGAGGGCTTACGGCTGCACGTGCGCAAACACACCGCGATCACTGCGCCAGGGTGTGCCAAATGCAGTCTTGAGATTAGCGGTAACTCTGGCTGACTCGAGGTGTGGGCGCAGCAGACCTGTCGGCTCGGGACAACTCGGTGCGATTGCGCCCTCTTCCTTTGCATCCTGCGATTGGGGCAGAACCATCCAAGAGGTCGCGAACTTGCTGAACCAGAATGGTCAATAGAATTCTTGCCGCCGTTCCAAAATCGAATTATTTACCTCAACTTGCAGCTGCGCCGGCCTTCGTTCCTTTCGTTCCTGAGCCAACTCCCACGTAATCTATCAAGCTCTGCTGTCCATGCGTGTGCTGGGCGAAGCGCACGGCCCGCAAACTCACAAAGTGGAGGAGCTGGCAACACCCCGTTCACTTCCCTGCAAGGCTGTTCATGGCGTCCGCACACCAAACAGCGCTGCCAAGTCCTGCATTTTCAGAGGGGGCGGAGCTTGCGAGGGCCTGGGAGATGCTTGCAGAGAGCACCCAGGATATTCAAGCCCAGGTGGTCAGCCTGACCTGCTGCAACAAGGTGAGCGGCCAGTGAGGTTGCCTGCCTGCTACGTCTTTGCAGAGTTAGGGTTGTTCCAGTTGGGACAGGCCATCTTAGCCGGGACACCAGGAACGTGCCACGCCTGACGATACGCGCGCTCTGGCTCAAGTGGTCAGTCGCCGGAGCAGAGGCAACCCGACCCCCTCCGAGATCCCCTCAAAGCTCCCTTTGGCTAATGGCAGGCCTTATTTATCTTGGGGATTCTCCTAAACTGTAGCAACTGTGGCCCCTTTGGGGGTACCCCAATAAGGCTCCGTTTTACGGTACAAGTAGGACCCCCGAAAGGGGACCATAATTTAGAGAACCTCCAACTTGCAAGAGCCGACACTTTTACACATTTCATCTATGCCTTGCAAGTCGAACGCCAGGAGCACTTGGGAGTCCCTTTGGGCTGAAGGGAATCTTGATGGACTTGAAGAGGCAGCGAGCTAACGGATGCAGCATTTGCTGCAGTCGCTATCGCTCCCTGCAAGCGGCTCGGGAGTCAGGGCCTCTCGCGGCGCGGATGCTGCGAAGCTGGCTCACGTGCGTGCACTAACTCAAGTCTGTCACAATGCCCATGACATTCTGGGCTTCGTCCGACATCATCCGCCAGCGGACCAAGCCGGTGTAGGATGGTGTAGGCGGATGACTCCTGGCAGAAGGGACAGCTGGGGGGCGACCGCGCGAGTGGACGCCCCATTTACAATGAGCCAACCCCGGCAACCCGAACAGGCTGGACCGTAGAGCGGGCCAAAGGGGCGAAGCGGGCAGTGTATTTCTGCCACCCCCAAGCCAACCACAGCCCGACTTGCGGAAGGGAAACTGCAGGAACACTGTCACTTAGGGCAACCCTACATTCGTTCAGGTTTGGGGGGAAGACCGGGGTGGAGTGAAGAATTGGCTTATCCTGCCCTGGATCAGAGCGTGTCCAACCGGGTGAGGTGACCCGGTTTGGTGTCTGGTTCAATACCCAAAAAAGCCCCCAAATGATTGGACGAGGTCTGGCAGAACTGCCTGCGGACCGACGACCCTGCCTAAGCAAACCACCAGCTACTCTAAAGGATTGGGGACCGCTTGCAGGCGTGCGAGGACGTGCTACCCGGACCATCAGGCCAAGCAGCGGCTTAGAATCTCCAGCGCCCACAAAGACTGTAAGCCCGTGGTTGGATACCCCGGTGCCTGATTTGATTGATTTGTGGGCCCAGGCGCCTACAAGCTGGGGTTGCGGGCTGCATCGACAGTTCAGTGTCTGCTTTGAGAGAGATGTCAATATGTGAATGTGGCCAAGTGGGGCAGCTGAAATGCAAAGTGATAGATAGTGATTGCGTCACGTCTTCAATCCATTCAGCCCCTCGTAGATACGCTCCGGCGAATTGGAGAAGGCGCGAAACGCTGTGCACCTTCTTAACCTTCCATCGAACTGCTCACATGGATCGAGCTGGGGGTTTTCCGTTCCTGGCCGTTGTTACTTGTGAACACGCCCGAACAAACCGCGGCACGGCTAAACCGTCCCCGACCGTGCCGCACCTGAAGCCAGAGTGCCTTCGTGCTTGTCAGACACAGCTGCGGAACGCACCCCCACCTGCTGGATAGAGCTACAGAACCTCACGCCTACAGTCAGGCCCTGCTTCTTCCAGGCAGATCTGCTGATAGCTTCGAGCGAGATCTAGGGATGGAAGCCTCCATTGATTCAAGCGTTTGCCATGAGTTCTGAGTTAATCGGGCGACACCATTGTGTGCAGTGGCAGGTGACAACGGGCAAGCTTGAAGAGCGATGCTTCGCAGCAATGGGCAGCAGATTCATCGTTGTGGGCAGGAGAGAGTGGGGAATGGACAGCCGGAGGAGGTGAATGCGAGAGTGACTGAACGTCGTCGAGATGTGGACGTTGAAAGCTGAGCCTCTTCTTCCGGCGCAAGTGCGCAGCGATGCCAGCGCCCAACGCAGACTGATCAGCAAGGGGAGTCGAAACTCGTCACTATGCCCATGACACTCTGCGCTTCGTCCGACATCATCCGCCAGCGGACCAAGCTGCTTGCCATGAGTTCTGAGTAGCTCGGGCGACATTGTGTCAGCCGCAGGTGACTGACGGGCAAGCTTGAAGAGCAACAAACTGGCGGATGCTTCACAGCAGCAGGCAGCAGCTTCATCGTTGTCGCCAGGAGAGAGGAGGGAACGGACACCCGGAGGAGGTGAATGCGAGAGTGAACGTCCCCGAGACGTGGACGCTGAAAGCTGAGCCTCTTCTTCTGCAGCAATTGCGCAGCGATGCCAGCGCCCAACGCAGACTGATCAGCAAGGGGAGTCGAAACTCGTCACAATGCCCACGACATTTTGGCTTCGTCCGACATCATCCGCCAGCGGACCAAGCTGGGATAGGCGGATGGCTCCTGACAAGCAGCGATTTACTGGCTGGGGAATCACGGAAGGAGGGAAGGGACAGCTGGGGGGCGACCGCGCGAGTGGACGCCCCATTTACAATGAGCCAACCCCGGCAACCCGAACAGGCTGGACCGTAGAGCGGGCCAAAGGGGCGAAGCGGGCAGTGTATTTCTGCCACCCCCAAGCCAACCACAGCCCGACTTGCGGAAGGGAAACTGCAGGAACACTGTCACTTAGGGCAACCCTACATTCGTTCAGGTTTGGGGGGAAGACCGGGGTGGAGTGAAGAATTGGCTTATCCTGCCCTGGATCAGAGCGTGTCCAACCGGGTGAGGTGACCCGGTTTGGTGTCTGGTTCAATACCCAAAAAAGCCCCCAAATGATTGGACGAGGTCTGGCAGAACTGCCTGCGGACCGACGACCCTGCCTAAGCAAACCACCAGCTACTCTAAAGGATTGGGGACCGCTTGCAGGCGTGCGAGGACGTGCTACCCGGACCATCAGGCCAAGCAGCGGCTTAGAATCTCCAGCGCCCACAAAGACTGTAAGCCCGTGGTTGGATACCCCGGTGCCTGATTTGATTGATTTGTGGGCCCAGGCGCCTACAAGCTGGGGTTGCGGGCTGCATCGACAGTTCAGTGTCTGCTTTGAGAGAGATGTCAATATGTGAATGTGGCCAAGTGGGGCAGCTGAAATGCAAAGTGATAGATAGTGATTGCGTCACGTCTTCAATCCATTCAGCCCCTCGTAGATACGCTCCGGCGAATTGGAGAAGGCGCGAAACGCTGTGCACCTTCTTAACCTTCCATCGAACTGCTCACATGGATCGAGCTGGGGGTTTTCCGTTCCTGGCCGTTGTTACTTGTGAACACGCCCGAACAAACCGCGGCACGGCTAAACCGTCCCCGACCGTGCCGCACCTGAAGCCAGAGTGCCTTCGTGCTTGTCAGGCACAGCTGCGGAACGCACCCCCACCTGCTGGATAGAGCTACAGAACCTCACGCCTACAGTCAGGCCCTGCTTCTTCCAGGCAGATCTGCTGATAGCTTCGAGCGAGATCTAGGGATGGAAGCCTCCATTGATTCAAGCGTTTGCCATGAGTTCTGAGTTAATCGGGCGACACCATTGTGTGGTTGTGGGCAGGAGAGAGGGGGGAATGGACAGCCGGAGGAGGTGAATGCGAGAGTGACTGAACGTCGTCGAGATGTGGACGTTGAAAGCTGAGCCTCTTCTTCCGGCGCAAGTGCGCAGCGATGCCAGCGCCCAACGCAGACTGATCAGCAAGGGGAGTCGAAACTCGTCACTATGCCCATGACACTCTGCGCTTCGTCCGACATCATCCTCCAGCGGACCAAGCTGCTTGCCATGAGTTCTGAGTAGCTCGGGCGACACCATTGTGTCAGCCGCAGGTGACTGACGGGCAAGCTTGAAGAGCAACAAACTGGCGGATGCTTCACAGCAGCAGGCAGCAGCTTCATCGTTGTCGCCAGGAGAGAGGAGGGAACGGACACCCGGAGGAGGTGAATGCGAGAGCGACTGAACGTCCCCGAGACGTGGACGCTGAAAGCTGAGCCTCTTCTTCTGCCGCAAGTGCGCAGCCATGCCAGCGCCCGACGCAGACTTAGCCAGGGGAGTCGAAAGTCTTCAGCCCAGCGGATGCAGCGTGTCCTGCGGTCGCTACAGCTCGCTGCTCGCGGCTTGGCAACCGTGGCCTTTTCGCAACAAGTGCCGCGTGGCCGGCTCAACTGCGTGCGCTAACTTAATCCTAGTCCACCGCCCATGACATGACTTCCTGGCTTCGTCGATAATCCACCGGACCAAGTCGGTGTAGGGCGAGGCCGATGAATCCTGGCAGGCAGTGGCTTATCGTGAGAAGAGGGAAGGAAGGGACGGCTACAGGGGGGTGAACGACAGAGCCGACGTCCTAGGGTTGCAAGAAAAGGAGTATACTGCAAAAAGCAGCTTGGAATCCACGATGTATCAAAAAGCATGCGGAAAGGATAAAAACATGGGATAAACTGGTCTCTGTACGTCCTCGTCTGTGTGTGTATCTGTGTGTGTACAGGCTTGCTTGCCCCGGCGGTGCCAAAGCAAACATTGGCAAACATGAACGCTCGAAAAAACAACCCTAAACCCTAAACCTTAAACCCTAGACCCTAGACCCTAAACCCTCAACCCTAAACCCCTCAACCCTAGACCACAAGTGTTCACAGCATGTCACAGCACGAACCGCCACTGCCACATCCACTGAAGGTCCAAACAAACAGCTGCCCCGGCCTACTTCACGGGACAAGACGATGCGCCTGCCAGGGTTTAGGGTTTAGGGTTTAGGGTTTAGGGTTTAGGGTTTAGGGTTTAGGGTTTAGGGTTTAGGGTTCAGGGTTTAGGGTTTAGGGTTTAGGGTTTAGGGTTTAGGGTTTAGGGTTTAGGGTTTAGGGTTTAGGGTTTAGGGTTTACATGGTCTCTTTCTCTCTCTCTCTCTCTCTCTCTCTCTCTCTCTCTCTCTCTCTCTCTCTCTGCACTGCTCTGTTTTTCTGGGTTGCCACGTCCCGCTTCGCATCAACGACAAGCCTACTAGGTCCCTTTCCTGCTTGGCTGACAACTTCGCGTAAAACTGTGGAAGATTTGGCGTCCCTGTCTCGAGCCTTCGGCACAGTTGCTCTGGCACCAAACGCAACAACGTCGGATTGGTCAAACACCTGGCTATGGGTACTTGGAGGTTCAGGGTACTTATAACCCCAATGATAACTGTATTTATAAGCCCCCTAAGTCCCCTAAGTAGGTTATAAGCAGACTCATAATGGGGGCTACTAAGTGCCCATGAACCTCCAAGTACTCGCACACTTTGAAAAAAGAAAGGACAGGCTTAAGCATGCATTGATGACAGCTTGAGTCTGAGTTGCCTGTCCATTAACGGCCTTGATACATAGCAATTGCTAGCAGCTGCACTTCTGGCCACCAACATTGAAGCCTAACCCCCAAACGCCCTAGACCCCCCAAACCCCCAAACCTCTAAACTCCTTTAGACCCTAAGCCCCCTACATGCATCTTTTTAACTTCAATCTTAACCCCTAGAATTGCCCCAGAACCTGAACTCCAAACCCTTGAAACCCTAAGCCCTCATCTTCGGGTGCCGCACTGATGTGGGGCAGCTGCAAATCGCTGAACCGGTTTGAACCTGAGTGGGGGTGGGGAGGGGCGGCGGGAATGCTGTGGAATTTTTGTGGCAGGCGCAGTAGCTCGCGCCCAATTCTGGCATCCCTTCTTGGAGCTTTAGGAAGCTCCCGGGTTTAGAACGAGGGTTTCCATCGCTGTTGAGGGGGGGGGGCCTCTGCTGAAAGAGGATTTCGGCAAGAAGGGTGTCACGTCTCAGGAGCAGATGCTAGGGTTTAGGGTTTGGGGTTTAGGGTTTAGGGTTTAGGGCTTAGGGTCGGTTTAGGGTTTAGGGTTTAGGGTTGAGGGTTTAGGGTGCAGGGTTTAGGGTTTAGGGCAGGTTTCGGTGGCTCTTTTCTGGAAGGGTTCGGATGTGAGACCGGGTCTTGGGCGGTTTAGGGTTTAGGGTTTAGGGTTTAGGGTCTAGGGTCTAGGGTCTAGGGTCTAGGGTCTAGGGTCTAGGGTCTGGGGTCTAGGGTCTAGGGTCTCGGGTCTAGGGTCTAGGGTCTAGGGGCTAGGGTCTAGGGTCTAGGGTCTCGGGTCTAGGGTTTAGGGTCTAGGGTCCAGGTTTCAGAGGTTAGTGTGCATCGCGTGTACGTTTCTCTAAATTTTGGGGCGCACTCCCTAGAGCGCTTGCAGAGCTTGGCCCGTACCCAGGGTTTTGTGCGCCAACCCCTTTAACAAAGGTGGGGGGGAGGGGGCTCCCAAAAGTAGATCTCTCCCTTCAGGGCTCCTAAGAATAACCCAAATACTAGTACAGGGTACAACTTGGGGGTTTTGTTTTTTGGGATCCTACCAGGGGTCTGGGTTGTTGTTATTCTCTCAACGTGCTAGCCGATCTGGCTTCTAGGCGCCAAGCCCACCAAAAAGGCTTCTGGGTACGTCCAAGGCTTCCAGACATGGAAAGGGGTCCCAATACAGGGGTCCCTGTACAGGCAACCTTATCCCCTGAGCTTTGAACCTGCTCTTTCCCGAAAGAGGGGGACCCATTTTTCGCCCCAAACTTCATGTCAACCATATAAGGACCCCCAAATAGGTACCCATGTCAAGAGACCCAAACCCACCTCAAACTACAAGAAAGAATGCTTGAGCAAGGTCCTTCCTCCGAGAAGTCATGGCGCCAGTGGTTGTGTTGGCTATGAGTGGCATGACCCTTCAAACTGTACAGGTATCATCCAGAGTCTCGTATGCAGTGTCGAAGCCGCAAACCCTGAACCCTAAACCCTAAAGCCTAAACCCAGCTGCAAGTCATCCATCCAGGGTCCAGGCCTCTGCTCGCCGGCAAAAACCTGGCTTGCTGTTTGAGTACTCCATAGTACTCCAGGACTTCCACACCCCCTTCTTATGGTCGGATCCTCAGCACAGTTGACAGCACCGTCCGTAATTCAGGGGCTTTTGGAAGTTCTGCGTCCTCTAAAATCCACTTGGCTCAGCTGACCCCCCAAAATTACAGGAGTGCAAAGTACGGGACCCGAAAAATCGGCACAGTTGACATGAAGGAGCCGCCCCTTCGACCGAGACGTATCAATGTATCTGTCAATGGTGTGGTTGAAGGTGGGGCGGGGCTGGGGGGGGGTGTCTATGTATGGAGATAGCTTTCTTTCAGGCATTCCGGCATTCCTGACAGGGTCCCTAATACATGCTATCAGTTCTATCTTTGGTGTGCCTTGGGAACAAGAAGATGGGGAAGAGGTTCACTGCGGTAGGGGCGTCGCGCTCGCATGTTGTGAAAAATACCGGTACTTAACAGGACTTAAGTGTGAGCCCCGGGCGGCCCAGGTAAATTTCAAACTTCAGGGACAATCCTGGACCTCCAAGAAGAACACTTTCCCGAGCGCGAGCCCGACACCTGCAGTTTCGAAACTCGACGCTCGATGCCTCGGCCTGCTGACACTGCCAGCCGCCAGCCGTCTTTCTGCTATTTCAAGCAAAGAGGGCTTCAGGGGTTCTCCAGCAAGCTTACAAATCCCCCCCAGTTCACTTCCGCTGCAAGTTCAACCAAGAAACCGATCACCCAAAAACCCTATAACACCCAACCCTCAACCCTCTACCCCCCCCCCCCTAGAACCCCCATAACCCCCCAGCCCTCGAACCCCCGAAACCCTAACCCGGGCCCTGGAGGCATGCGCAGAGCCCAGCCTGGAAGAGCTTCGGGACTCCGAGGCCATGTGCTCAGTGTGCATTTTTATGTAGAAGGCATTTGGTGGGCATTCCGAGGTTTAGGGTTTAGGGTTTGGGGTTTGGTGTTTGGGGTTTAGGGATGAGGGTGAAGGGTTTAGGGATGAGGATTTAGGGATTGTGTGGGTCTACAAAAAGACATTCTCAACAACGCCGGCTGAGGATGTTGGATGAAGATGTCATGTGAGGGAAACGGTCGTTCCCTTGATAGCGTTGGGAAGAATTGGGAACCAGTGGAGAATGAGAATGGGTTCACTGCCATGCACTAGTCCGTTTCGAATGTACTTAAGTCAAACCACGGACAAGCAGAGCACGCTCTCTCTTTTCGATGCGCTGGCACAGAAAAATCCCGGTCGGTGAAGTGGTACTGGAGCGGCAGCGGACCGGGCATCGGTCGGAAGAACCCGGAGAAATGCTCGACTTTTTTTTTTTGGACTGGCGCCTCTTTACTACATCAGTAGCACAGTAGGCCGGTCTTGTTGGGCTCGACATAACAGGTGAAACGAAGTCAGCGCGCGCAAACCACCAAACACACCACGCAACCACCCAAGAAACAAAGAAACAGAAGAAACAAAGCAAGCAAAGGCGCTGAACTACTAGGTAACCCCACGCACTCAGTACTCGAAGTCGACGTTGAAGTCCCGGTGCAATCATACAGCACAGAGCATGCGGGGAGTCGCAAAATGCGACACTGCCAGATTCTCAAAACCACCATCATGTAGCTACAGGTGCGACATCATTCGGCTCGAACCGAGGTCATCACTCGATAGTCAGGATCCCATACTCGTCGTCAAGGACAGATAACAGACCCGCATTGGCAAAGGGATGTTACAGGTCAGACTCCCTAAAGGAGAGGAAAGACGTGCGTATGCCCCATGGTGGTCAGCCAGTGGGGACTTAACAGCAAGAACTATCAAGGCAAGACCGGCCCAGGGCACTCCATGGTGGTCAGCCAGTGGAGCAGCCCCGAGCGAAAGGTCCTCCGCTCACCCTGGCTTGCAGCTGCGCCCACCTAGATAGATGTCCGCGCACAAGCACAGTCTCATCAGACAGCCAGAGGGGAGGCCACACACGCAAGCCCGAAAGCTCGCCGGGGTCTCGGAGACTGCAATCTGGTAGGCAATGGTCCCTCCAGAGCCCAAGCCAATAAGGTACGTCGGCAAGGAGATGTGAGGGCTCACATCACTTTGGCAGCCTGCAAGAGCGCTAAGATCTCCATGGTAAACACAGCTTTCGTCCAGGCGGCGCCGTCAGGTAGCATCCAGGCGGGC